ATGTCAAAGCAAGTAAAACTTTCAATTCTGTCTTAGTGGAAATTGAAACTTAGAGATATCATAGGGTAAGAAGGAAGTCTTGTAACCTGGCCCAAAATGTGGTAGATAAAGCAGTTTACATAGTTTTTCAGTTGAGTTTGAAAGTTGAAGTCGAATTAGACAGTTTGGAAAATGCAAACTAGCCATGCAATCTAACTGTTTTTAGTAATCAGAGCGGACCTAGTTTGATCAAAAATATAAACTGTTAAACTTCCTCAGAACAGTTTATAAAGATGTACAGTAATGAATAATTCTAAGCAATTATCTGAATGAAATCAGCTTTCAAAAGGAGTTAGAAATTTCAAGAAGAATATCAAAAAGTCTTCTTAGGATGAATGCATGCTTTACGTATTGCGCAGTTTTACGGGTAATTATTTTGATTTCATAAAGCATGTTGCTAGAAACTTTAATATCAATGGAATAAATAATTAAAAGACGCTTTCAGTGTTAAGATTAATTAAGTGATATAATCCAATCACTATACTGACTAGCTAAGTTGTTTTCAAAGTCTATATTTGCCAATGGCCACTTATGCTCACATGACGAATGTTATGATATCCTGAAATTAAATACAAAAAGAGTCATGATACAGCTTAAGCAGATGTAATGACTTATTGCCACAATAGCAATTGGCCTTATTGTGATGCAGGCTAAAATCTGTGTGCATGTCGGAGGATCACGCTATGAGTTATATGTTCGGGACGATGGCTACCAAAACTATCCGGCTTTGGTATTTGGTGCAGAGTTTGAACGTTTAGCCCACCGTTTAATGGTCAGTTAACTAAACTATTGAGCCATAGTGCCACACTCTTCGTCAAAGTATACTCGAATAAAAACCAAACACACATATGTACTGCATTCCTTTGTTTTAGTAAAAAAAAACACTTCAGAGTTGCTTATCAAACATACATTTGTACCAATAGATATATATATATATATATATATATATATATCATACAGATAAATGTTTTCACGAAAGTTTCTTGATAATCAGGACAATTTAGGTTGGCAGCCTGATTAAGCACCACTAGTCTTGCAGTATTCTACTGTATAAATGTGGTAGCCTGAACCATTTATTTGTTTGTAGGTTTAGGCACATTATAATAATAATGATAATTTTCAAGTAAGGTACAGAAACGTAAGAGAGATTACAGTATTACAATTTGTAGACAAATATATAATACAACCATTCTCTCGCTGTTTCTACTTTATTATATTTATACTCTCTTTAAAGTTATCTCAAATAAATGCGTGTGTTCCTACTTAATAGTGATTTTTTGAATAAGGGTGTGAAAATTCATGTACAGCTAAGTGGTTAGTTAATTTCGGCCTCTCTCTCTCTCTTTATATATATATATATATATATATATATATATATATATATATATATATATATATATAAGAAATTGTGCGTAACTCAGTTGGAGATAAACATAAAAAATAAGAACAAGCGAATAAAAAGTAAACACCATTCATAAGAAAATAAACAGCTTCTCGAATTTCACATGGTCTAGTACTACACTGTTACCATGTGAAAATCTGTTGGAATTAATTATCGTTATATTGCAAGTTATTATATATTATACCTAAATTCGTTGTTATTACAGGCCTTCTATAGTTTTTTAGATATATTTCAATCCAGTGAAACTATAAAAATTGCTGAGACAGTACATAAAACTGTTCGTTGAGTATAAATATCATTTTTACTTTTACAGAAATTACATTCAGTTTGTTACAAAAAGAAGTCTTTGGCGCATGTTCATCAAGGTTAAGAGAATCTGTTGTTTATAACTGACTGTCAGTTATTGCCTAACTTAACTAAATTAATCTGATATCTCTAATCACTGACATAAAAGTATGAGGAAGTGCTATGGGATGTTCTGACGTCTGTATCTAGCTAACTACAAATCAAGTTTTATAACCACCATCAATTTAATATTAGAGGCCAATGAGTTTGTTCGCTTTACAGCTGATCGCTGTTGCGCAAACTATAGTATGCATTGAGATGTATTTCTAAAGTAGTGGTGTAGATCACAAACACTATCAGTGAGATTAGTTAACTTGGTGAAACCATATTTCCACCTTTATAACTTATGATTACACTTGATAAAGGCAGATCAGTTAAAAAGAATATTCATTCTCATTCAAAACCACTTAATTAGCTTCTAATGCAGTTCAGAGGGAATATATATTCTGAGAGGTGCATACTTAACAAAAATAAAATAAATAATACTGCTAATGTATGAGCCTGTCTTATTGCGACATTTCAGAAAATTGGGTATTTAAATCCGAGAAGCTTATTTGCAAATCCCCAAAGTTGGAATGGATTTGTGATTCACCTAATCACGCATATTAGACTAACTCATAAAAACTATAGGGTGTACCCTTTGCTGCAAAGTGAACAGAAATTACTTCTACTCGACTTTACAGCTTGCAATTCACAGTAAGTAAGGGGTACCTCTGTTCGATCTTGAAAGAATGTCTCAGATTTTATCTTGCTACATGATGTTATAAAGATCGAAAAAAAAACACAGATGTGCGAATATTGAGTCCATTATCTGTCATTTCAACAATAACTTAAAGCATTGTTTATGGAGATGTTACAGAGACCAGAAATTATTTCGTTCTACTGATAGCTCCAATTCAGTCAGCATTTAATATGAATGTTAAATGTGTTTAAAATATAATTTCGAATGAAAGATAATTACCTTAATTCTGTGCAACTGTTGACAGGACAAATATGCTTACACACGAAATGACCTTTATCAAATAAAAGCAAAAATAAAATATAGGTGTTCGTAAGTAGCTAATGAATTATCAAAAGTGATAAGTCAGTACACTTTTAGGTTTTGTTCAGTTACGAAATAAGTTTTTAAAGTATCTTTTTTAGCAAATGTTTGAATGAGGGATATGTAACTTTCAGGCCATTGTCACAATGTCTATCACAGATTAGATTGAAAGGATGTTCCTTAAGAAATACAACTGATACAACTCCACAAATGTTTCTTGTATTATCTGAGATTTCAGACATGTACACGTATAAAAGTTATGTTTTATATGAATTCGAAATGTTAAAAAATTGTATAGTTCTTATCACTAACTGAATCCCTCGAACTCACGGTAATTCATTTTACCTATCCATCGAAATGCTTTCGCACTCCCTGCACCTTGAACAACCACCAGTATATTCATATGGAAAGTAAGCAGATCTATCCTGGTGTATCACATTCTCGGGAACATTGACAGGAAATTGAATAGTCATGTGCGATAGTAGTCATCAATAAATACTGGTAATGAAATATGGGACTCGAAGCCAGAAACGTCTAAACAGCCATTTCGGATTTCCTAAAGGCGTGAACCTGATTTGGAAGTTGAGATATTTGTTGTAGTCATCTAGAAAAACAATTTTTGCAGCAGCAATTACGCCCAGAGAATTGTTTTCCATTCAACGTTAACCTTATGCGCAGAAAAAGAGCTGTTTACACATTTGTTTGGCTTAACATCAAAATAATTTTTCCTTTTAACCAGTATTTTTCTTGAAATCATAGCATTACAAAGTACTGACATCACTTTGAACTGTTTACCGTCCATAGCGTACAGCAGTGAGGTAATAAAGCCAGTGCAAACTTCCGTGGTGTTGAACTAATATATTTTCATCACTAATTGGTTACGAACTGCATGATACTTAGCGACATTTCTTATAGCTGAATATTCCAGTATCTTAATTGTGGTATCAACAGGTTTTTCGATGGAAATCACCCAGTAAAAATCAAAGCGTCTCTAATGTGACACTGCAGTGTCATGAACTTATGAAGTATATGACTTAAAAAAATAAGCAGTCGTAGACTGCTGATTCATTGATTTTGCTATCCAAATCGGAGATATTAAAATTTGACTTAACTGTTCCAACTGCTTGAAGCCAAGGTCATCTACGCTGTAAATATATAAATCCATCTGGTAGATATGAGTTGTTTAGATAAACTAAATTCAGCTATCTTACCATAGGAATTATCAACAGATGACGTCCAGCTTGTTAAACGTTTGCAAATTGGTCATCCACTTTACGTTATATCGTCCCTTTCAGCTCAACATACGAGATATATTTAATTTATTTAAGTACACATCTTATGGGCTGAACTCAGAGCTAAAGAAATGGCCGTTCTAAAGGTGTGCATCAGAAGCTTTTGACTAATATTGATGTTCAGTGATTTTTTTGCAATGTTAAAATTCATCACTTTCTGGAGCGCATGTAGTAAACTGTATGCGATACCACTTACTTACGAATGCCAAATAGTCTTATATTTTCATTCACCGAAATAATTTCAATACTTTTAGAGATTTATCTTTGGCACATTGTATTCTATAGTCAGATAATAAATTAAATATGAAGTTTAAGCATTTGATTAAAAGAACGCTTTCTCGAGGATAACTAGTGAAATCTATCCCGATCTTGAGACCATTAGTATGAAGATAAGTTACTTGTTCAGGAAAGTATTGGTGTTTTATAACGTCTAAGTTGAAGCCTGCTCATATGTTCAAGGTAAACTTATTTCATATAGAAAAATATTGTCTTTTTGAAAACTGTCCTAATAGTTTTCGAAATTCGACCTGTTCTCTGCAATGGAGACGAGATAAATATTTCGCTAAGTTGATGTCTTATTGATAACTAATCAGGGTTTCAGTCATTCGACAAAACTGGTTGTGGATGACAAGTTAGTGATCACTTCGTTTTGCACATAAATGTCTCTGTAGTTACTATGCAATCCACCGAGCATAAAAGAGAATAAGTACTTGTCCTATTTATGATATAACTGTGATCAATTATAGGAATGACTTGACATTTCAGTGGTGATAAAACTTCCCACTGATTTTTCTCGGGAAACAACGTAGTAATCCTGACTTTTATTCAATGAAAAATATAAGCAGTGAATATAGTACATATATTTTTTAGTTAGGTAACTTATATATATATATATATATATATATATATATTCATTTGAACGGAGTGTGGTTTTCATATCCAGAGAAATGATAGGAATTATATACTGAATTATTACTGTTATACAAAAAAAATTATGTAACTTATCAGGTGCATTATTTCTCCTCTTCGATTGTTTGTGCAGTAAAATTCACTCAACAAAAGAGCGCGCTGTTCTTCAATCCCAACATAAATGAACAATTAAATGAAAAACATAGTTGTTTTACAATTATGAATTCACAGTGTTTTATACTGAGATGATGAAATATATTTTGAATGAATAGAATATTTTTTTAAAGACAATATGGAAAAAACTAAAAAGTTGAAAAGTTTCCCACTTATTTTGAGAATAAATGTAGAAAGACACTTACATGAGTAAAAAAAAAGATTCATATATGTGGAAGTTCGATGAAGGTTTTCAATTTTATATACGTTGATTTATGTATATGTAGTTTATATTCAAAATAAAAGTCATAACAATATTGATCATGAAAAGAAGATTAGTTAATAATGATAATACCAACTGTATTTGCCATTGGTGCTATGATCAGACACATATGTTTACTCATGTGTATATGTCTAAGGTGAAAACTTTCAATGTAGCTCTCTGTTGTTATATCCCTTTCTGAATTAACGACAAGCACAACTTTCTACAACCATATCTTCATACACTCTTAGTACAACATCACCATTTTGACTATGATATAATAGTGACTGTGAGGAAAGTTGGTTCGGTACACAACATGGACCGGGTATTCTTGCCACATCAAGAAGATGAACTAGTTGTAAGAGTACAGCATGGTTTGTTGTATTATAATGTGTTGATAATGGAAAGGGACACTGACCTAAACAGTAACGCGCATTATAGGCCTGGGGGCAATTACCCACCCAGCCCATCCGACAGCATCAAAATTTATAATTAATTCACGCCTTTGACAGGTTGTATCAAGATAATGATGATTGCTTGTTTGCAGTATATTAGAATGATATGACCTTGTGATATCATACTGATATTGCTGTGGACCATTATTTTCTCGATTGTCGTCATATGGGTTTGGGGTTATTTGTCGATTCGGAGAAGCATCTTCATTTATACCCTGAGCATCGATCATTCCATTCACTGAATCCATATCAGCATAATAATAACGATCTTTACTAGAACGATTATGACGACGTTGGTAATGTGCTCGTCGACGTGATCTTAGTTTGGTGAATGTTTGTGCATCCTGTTGTACACTTTTCCGTTGTTCTTCAATGTGCCTCTGCTGTTTCAAACTTTCACTGAGTAACCGTTTCAGCCGTTTATAGCGTCTTGCTATTTTTTTATCTTTTATCTGTTTCAAGGAAATTAACACTGTGTAAGCATGCTAATATGTAATGAACTATTATGCAAATATCTGTAACCCCTTTAATAAAAACTATTCTGAATAAAACCTGGTTGGTTACTTACTCAACAGAATAGTAAACAGCAAGTAAATGAATATGAATTTAACACCACATTTTTAAGCACCTATACTCATTCACTGATGGAATGAACCAAAAATAATCACCAGTTATTTATACACTACAGAATTATCTTACTAAGATTTCATTTTGCTGAGTTCTTACTGTTTTCAAATAGCCAATCAGTTCTTTCTCCTTATCTACTTGTGCAGTAGGATTTCGCTGTGTAGCTAAAAACATGGTGTTTTTCGGAAATTCAAACAGGTTGGGGATCTTGGAAGTGGTCATTTTTATGAGATCAGGCCACATTCATATCAGACTGGTTTAGTAGTCGAACAGCTTGTTCTTCAGTAGTAGCTGTCGTGAACAAAGTGGCACTATTAGCATAACACATTTGAGTTCTATAAGGTATACACCTTGTATTGATTTATATATTTTACCCGTTTTGACCGTGATAAACACTTATTAGGAAGTTGTAAGGACGTACTTTTATGTTATTGAGTTGTGGTGTATATTGAGATCACCCTTTAATTATCCTATTTCTGAGAAAATGGACTCTGTAACTTTGGAAAGATTATTCATGAGGTGCTACTGGTACACTTTGGAGTTCAAACAGTAGGAATTTGACCAATGCAACACCGGTAAATTAGTGGATTTTTTTAGATGAGCAAACTCTACATGTGATGTCTGCAGAAAGGAGAACCGCATCCTGAGAGGTTTAACAACCACTTCCGTATGTATCCGGGACTGATATCGTTCTAGCATTCTTAAATATCGGAACTCTTTCATAGCCATATGTACTTGTTGCTAAATTAATTTTCAGAAAACTCCCAGTCTTTATGCACTCCGAATACATGACATGATTTGCTGGGCTTTTCTATAAGGGGAGCCCGAAATTCAGAAAATCTAGAGAGAGTTTATCACCAATATTTGAAATTTCAGACTATGGTAGAACTAAGACAGATATTTATCCGCCAACTTAAAGTGTCTTGGAAAGTTGTATGTTTCAGTATACTTGATACCTAGCGATGCTGTTTTTACATAGCCTTTTACCAGAGTTCAGAAGTAGACAGTAGAATTGTAGGGAATGAGTCGAGAGAAGCTAATTTCGAATCATTTACTACGCTTGATAAGAACAAACTGCTTATAGTAAACGAAAATTAATTGGTGACTTTATTATTTACGTAATAATGCAAAACGCTTGGTAATCTCAGTGCATATAAAGGTTTACAATAAACCAGACATTGGATTTTGTAGAGAAACTTCGAATAAAAGGTTGTGTCTCATTTTCTGAAAGTGCTCATTTATTTTTGTGAGCGTAAAAAACTTGTACATTAGCAACAGTAAACATATGCAGCATATTCTATAAGTGATTAGCCGCACCTGACGACACTGGAACCTTTTTCTTTACGTACATAAAATTGATTGGATGTAAATTCCAGTCTTCACACTGTCTTTAGAATTAATGCTATAAGCCATCAGTATGTATATTGGTCACCTTTTTGGTTTTATAATTTATAGAAGAACTAAGCCGTATAAAAGTGTCTTCCGAGTTATACTGATTTACGTACCTTATGCTGTTGCTTTTTAGTGGAGTGAAATGAGACATAGTGATATAAAGAAATTAGAATATTCGACTGTCATTTAAAAAACCTGTACATTTTCATTACAATATCCATCTCTAAATTTAATTGGTGGATACCACATAGCACATGAAGTTTTCAGCTTAGTCCTATTAAAGTTAATGCATAGTTTATATTTCTTTTATGACATTTTACGTACACCATAAATTCATATCGACAAAGGACTACTATAAACTTTAACAGCGTTTATCAATAAGCTATAATACATGAATTATTACTGCCAGATTGTGAACAAACTGAGTAGGGGAAAAGATATTTCATTGATTTTAACCTGAAGTAATTAATTTTTCCAATATTGACACGATGAAAAGTAGAAGCTGCAAAAAGTATTATTCATTGATCGTTTATTAACAACCTGTATATTTTTATACATTTATTTGACAGTTATAGACGCGTAGTGTCTAGTAGGCAGCTTGCATAAAGATAACAGCATATACTGTCTAGTAGTAAGAAGGAAACCCATCTGTAAGTATAGCCTTTTTCCTAAACTCCATTCTCCATTTTAATCTCCTACTTTCACTAGTTTAATAACGTTTCAATTTTGAGCAATGTAAAAGTACCAAAGAAAGAATATAAATGACTCTTTGAAGGCTACTTGCATGAAGGGTAACTCTTGTCTCCTTAATTTCTTTTTCTAATTTGCTTATTTCCATTTAGTTTTATTTCAAGAAAGACTTAATCAATACTATACTGTGTTGCTACCGAGTCCATTGGATTGTACTCTTGCGGGTGCCAACCTAAGCTATTCCATCAAATAATCTAGTCTTTGTGAACAGTTGAATGAAAATACAATATGCTATTAAATTAAAATCTTAAAAGCTATTTGAAATGAAAATTTGTCGAAATAAATGAACAGACGCGTGCAAAATTCCTGATAAAATCTAATTGCTTGAGGTATGTAGATTGACAGACTACTTTCATCCTTATATTTCGCTTAAAGACTGAAATTATGTCGGCTGTCATTATGAAAAAATATGCTTCTTTTTAAAAAATGCCTAAACATTACATGGTTTGGGTGAAACAACTGGACGCCTTAATAAACTGCAAAATCTCTCCATCCATTTTTAAATGAATAATAGTTTATTGTTTTCCCCATCTGGTATACTCCATTGTATCAATCTGCATTGAACACTGCATTCAATATAAAAAATGTCTATAATCTCTGGAAATTAAATGCTACAGTTTAAAATTATAAGCTTATCGAATTTTCACCACTGATATCAATATGAGTATTGGTAATTGAAAAAGTCTAACAGTTGGTGTAATTATATTGATAAAGATCATTTCCATTCAATGGTAGCATATATTCGTGCTTGAGAATAGAACTGATTACTGATGAACAAGCTGCAGGTTATTCTAATATTGCACTATTCATACCAATATTTTTGATAAGTTGGTGGTATTTTAACTGTTCAAACATAGTACTAAAAAATTATATTAGGAAACCTGACTCGAACTATAGGTTCCCATTTTCGATATAAAGCTGTCATGAAATAATCATATTTTTATAGGAATGAAAGTAGTAGTTCTTGGTTTTAGAAAGCGAAAGTAAACGTGGGGACATGGAATGTCCGCACGATGTTTGAACCCAGTAAGGCAGCCCAGATTGCAAAGGAGATGAGAAGGTATAACATCGAAGTGCTTGGGATTTGCGAAAGCAGATGGAATGGGAGTGGACTCTCCAAACTGTCAACTGGAGAATCAATAATCTACTCCGGTCACCCAGACGCCAACCACGAGCACACTGAGGGAGTGGCTATCATGATGTCCTCAAGAGCATCGAAGGCTCTCATGCAGTGGGAACCAATCTCCTCCAGGATCATGACAGCAAGATTCAACTCAAAAGGAAGAAAGGTCACAATCATACAATGTTATGCACCTACAAATAATGCAGAGCAAGAGAAAAAGGAGGAATTCTACAGACAACTTCAATCAACACTGGACAAGACGTCAGTTGGCGATATCAAAATTCTAATGGGCGACATGAATGCCAAACTGGGAGGGGACAACACGGGAAGAGAACTAACCATGGGTCGAGAGGCGCTAGGTGAAATGAATGAGAATGGAGAATTGTTTGCAGAATTCTGTGCATTCAACGATTTGGTGATTGGAGGCAGTGTGTTCAGGCACAAGGATATCCACAAAGCGACATGGACTTCACCAGATGGACACACTAAAAATCAAATCGACTTTATCTCAATCTCAAGAAAATGGAGACGCAGTCTACTTAACACAAGGTCAAGAAGAGGAGCAGATGTAGGTTCAGACCACTATCTAGTGCAAGGAACCTTCCAAATCAAGTTAAAAGCCTTCAAGGAAGCTGGTGATAGACCTCAATTCAAGTACAACACTCGGAAACTGAAGGATGAAACTACAAAGGAGATCTTCAAAGCAGCCATCAAGACAAAATGGGAGACATCGAGGGACATCCCTGAAGAAACCTGTGTGGAAGAACACTGGAAGTCTTTGAAAGCTATGTGGAAAGAAACCTGCACAACAGTATTAGGAAGGAAGAAGAAAGAAGACAAGGAATGGATCTCGACGGATACCTGGAAGCTGATAGAGGAGAGGAGGATGGTGAAGCAGAAGATAAACCAGTGCAAGGATGCTCAACGACAAGAGGAACTGAGCACAATGTATAAAACACTGGACAAAGAAGTGAAGAAGAGTGCACGCAAAGACAAAAGACACTTCTACGAAACACTGGCAAGTGAAGCAGAACAGGCTGCAGGTAAGAGAGACCTGACGACATTGTATCAAATAACCAGGTTGCTATCAGGGAAGAGACCAACACAGATGAAACCAATAAAAGATGAAGAAGGAAATTTAATTACAAAAGAAGAGAAACAGAGGAAACGATGGGCCGACCACTTCAAGAAGCTCTTGAATCGACCACCACCTGCACTTCGTCCAGAAATACCACCTGCAGCCGCTGAATTACAAGTGAACATAAATCCCCCAACGAAAATGGAAGTCCTGAACGCCATAAAGCTACTGAAATGCGGGAAAGCAGCAGGACCAGATGGAATACCGCCAGAAGCACTGAGAACAGATGCAGAGACAACAGCGGACATGCTCACACCACTATTGCAGAAGGTGTGGAGGGAAGAGAAGGTACCTGACGATTGGAAGAAGGGTTACCTTGTCAAACTGCCGAAGAAGGGAGACCTCAGTGCTTGCAAGAACTGGCGCGGAATCACTCTCCTGTCCACCCCAAGTAAAATATTAAGCCGCATCATCCTGGAGAGGCTTAAAGACGCACTGGATTCAAAACTGCGACCGGAACAGGCAGGCTTCAGGAAGTACAAATCATGTGCTGACCAAATTGCAACGCTTCGTATCATCATAGAACAGAGCGTAGAATGGCAATCAGCTCTATACCTCAACTTCATCGACTTTGAGAAGGCCTTTGACAGCGTCGACCGAGAAGTAATTTGGAAACTGCTTCAATACTACGGAGTACCGCAAACCTTTATCCGCCTCATTCAACAACTATATGAAGATGCCACATGCCAAGTAATCCACAATGGGAAGCTCAGTGATGCCTTTGAAGTGAAGACAGGAGTGAAACAAGGTTGCCTACTATCCCCCATGATATTCCTTATTGTGGTGGACTGGATCATGCAGCAAACAGTAGGCAGCGAGAAGAGGGGGATACACTGGACGACGGAAAAGAACCTAGAAGACTTGGATTTCGCCGATGACTTATGCCTAATGTCACATAAACTTGAAGATCTGCAGGCAAAAACTAACAAGTTGACAGAAGAGGCAGCTAAGACGGGACTTCAGGTGAATATAGAGAAGACAGAAGTGATGAAGATACCGCACCACCAACATCAACAACAACAACAAACTCCAATCACCGTCAACGGGAGAAACTTGAAGGAAGTAACCTCCTTCACTTATCTAGGAAGCACTGTTTCAACTACAGGCGGGACGGACGAGGACGTCAAAGTCAGAATCGGAAAAGCAAGACAGGCGTTCATTAGCCTGAAACCAGTGTGGAGATCTTCTGCACTCAGCATGCGGAACAAGATACGGATTTTCAACACCAACGTCAAGTCAGTGCTCTTGTATGGCTCAGAGACTTGGCGCGTCACGAAAGGCATTTCCAATAAACTACAGACATTCATCAACAACTGCTTACGCTCGCTGCTGAAGATCAGATGGCCAGAAAAAATAAGCAACAAGGAACTCTGGGAACGAACCAACCAAGAACCTATCACGCAACAAATATGCAGGAAGAAGTGGAGATGGATTGGCCATGCACTGAGAAGGCCGACTGAGGACATCACGCGTCAGGCCCTCGAGTGGAATCCCCATGGGAAGCGACGAGTTGGACGTCCGAGGGTGACATGGAGGAGGTCATGCGAGGAGGAAATGAGAGCTTGTGGGCTGTCGTGGAACCAGGTTCAAAAGATCTCAGAGAACAGAGGTCACTGGAGGCGTGCTACTGAAGCCCTATGTTCCACTAGGAACCCAAGGGACTAATAATAAAATAATAATGATGGATGTGCTACACGATTTCCAGGTTCCTACTGCATGCAAAATATCCAACGAATAAAACAGTTTTACTTTACTTAGATTTTCAGAAGCAGTTGCCATCAAAAGAATTAAAGCAAGCTTTTGTACCCAAAAAGAGGTCATTGTTATCTTTCAACTTCTCTGGTTGCCACTGGTATGCTTCGTTATTCAGTATGAACCGTTCCGAAATTTTTGCATTTTCTTCGCCGTTTCACAACCGATTTCCCAGCGGATTCTTACAATATTCCCACAATTTTGCTATCTGACCTAAATCGATTAAATCTAACTCAACTTTTGCCTAATATAAACCTTTTATTTACATTATTAACTTATACATACACTTAAGTAATTTTGTCTATTCCGTTTTTCTATTGAACACACTTAGCAAAATGATGATTTGACTATGTTGACGTGGGAAAGCTTTGATTTTAGCAATAACAGTTTATTTCATCTACAGTTCCTCAATCTGATTCAATTCTTTCGTTACTTTTCACCAATGGACCATACTCATTTTGATAATTAAATTAAGTAGAATGAATTTGTCTGTGTATCTATCATAGTTTGACAGTCTAAATGTGGTTGAACAGAAGGCGACAAAATATGGTGAGTTCACTTTATTCTACCTAATCTTCTGGTTCAGCTTCGATAAGTCTTCTTTGTGAATTTTAGTAACCAGTTTCACGCTTGTCTACTCAACGTCTAGTTACACTCGCTGCGTTAGAGGTATGACGCAATCTTCAAAAGCTGACTGACTCAGAATTTCAACCTAGCTGCATGGATTCGGCTGTACAATTCATTAAGTTACAGAAATTAAAAGAATGTAAGCTTAAAGGAAATGGAAATCCAGGATAAAATACAAACCACAAAAACAGAATTAAAGCGATAATCTTTGCTATGCGCCGTATTCATGAGATTTTTTGATATGCAGGTGACATAATATTTTAGTTTGTGTAAGTGGCATTACTTCAAGTCTTGAGACTAGGAATTATACATTTCTACTTCGTATCCCTCGTATTAATCACTTTTGAAACTGAATCCTCACTCTGGAATTGATGTTTACGTGTACTAATTAAATTTGAAGTGTAAACGAAAACTAGGTTGGCGTACACAAAATCTTCAGAATGCACTGTCTATAACTAGCAGTATTCTGTATAATGAACTTAAAAGGCATCAGAAGAACACATGTTAATAATCGTGGTCCATAATGTTAGTGTAAGTTGGTCATTTGTTTCATTTTGTGTGTAACCGCTATTCAAACCAGTATTTCTGGTAAATATTATGTGTACTGTCTACCTACATCCTTTTTTGAAATAACCACCCGTGAAAGTGTAGCTTAATATGGTTAGTGGGCCTTTTCATACTTAAAAGCCCGGGTAACTTAAAATAAAAGGCCATGTAACATATTTATTATTTGACTTTCTGCAATAAAAAACTGCTTCCCGTTATAAAAAATTGGATTGATAAAGATGCATCGTATAAACGGCACCAAGCATAAATGTTCCTGGTAGGGATAGGTCAAAAGATTGGAAATGTGCCGAATTAAAGTTTCATATATTGATGGAATAACTATTGCTGAAATATTCCAACTGTTAACAGATTACAGGTAGTAATTTTTGTTCAAAACTTTACCGAAATAAAAACTCATCATTGCGTGTAAAACTTAGCATTAAAACTGTACTTATAATAGATCAAAAGTTTATATCCTCAGAAAATAAACTAATGACGTACGCAAACCTTATTATAAACACATTTTTCTTCACTGGACACTAAATCAAAACGATGAGTTTTACACATAGCTATGTAATTGAAACTTAAGCATTAATGGCTTATCAATGTATTAGTTTTTGGATAATAAATGAACATGATATCTGTAAAACACTTACATTTTTTGTTGCAGTTTTCGCATTCATATTGCTAACTCCATCAGTATGAAATGTATATTGACTGTTTGGATAGTTAACTGACCTTTGTTTGCGCTTCAAATATTCAGCTAACTTGGGATCACGATGATAAGTGAATAAATGTGGTGCACTATGTAACCAATTGGTAGAACTGATAAGATTCCGGTTACTTTGACTTTTGTTATTCACTTTAAGGTAATCATGTTGTTCTGTATTCACATAACTATCATTGTTATATAAACTTGTGTATGAAGACGAACTTTTTCTTGCGACTGAATGAATTTGTATTACAATCTGTTTGCTTCCATGGATTTGTTGATTGGTTCGTTCTATCAGATGCAAGACAGGTTGATTCAGTGGTATATGAAACCATCCATTGGGTAAATTTATCAATGATGAATTCTTTGTAGACTGTGTTCTACATTGTAAATCATCTGGTTCAAAAATAGCTGCTGTTTGAACATCTATGTCACTTGCATTATTTAGGTCAGAATGTAACCATATAGAAAGTGGCCAGTAGAAAGAAGCGCTACTGATTTTGCTGTTATCAGTAACGTTTGAACATTCGAAATTGGATGCTGTGGGAATCGTGTAATTTATTGAGTACAGTTTTGCTTCATATCTTATACGTATGCTGGCTGCTATTAAATGTTCATTTGAAGGCATATCAGCAAGGCGAAATACTAATTTATGCTTTTTAACGATGTGATCTGAAGATAAATCCATGCCAAATGACTCCACATTACGTTTGCTACGATGAAGAGGTACAATATCTTCTTCGCTGTTTTCATGCTCATGAGATTCTGAAGAAAGTACCCACGAAATACAAAAATAAGTCAGCGGTTTATTGAACAGGTCATAAAACATTATCGAATTCCTAAACTAAATTTTTTTAAATGCTTAGCATTATGTTATGAAATATGTTCAGAATAGAGATATCTTTGCTGGAAGGTTAATATCGTTTCTATGAATATTTGTATTGATATTCGCTTAAATGTCAACTGATTACACTCAAAACGCTTAGTGAGTTCCCAGTTGTTAGAAAGAAGTGGGTCCAAAAAGGAAGGTCATCTGATCAAGGAAAGTGACAAAACATTGAAGTGGTTGGAGTTCATTTTATTGCAATGTCACTAATGGACCCTAAAATCTCATTTCGGATAATGATTGGTTAGTAAAAAAAACATAAAGCTTTAGCACTTCAACTTACAAAATATATATCATCAAGACTGCACTAACAAATAATAACACTTGATTGGAAAAGTCAGAGGGAAATGACGGAAGAGATACAAGGTTAAAACTTAAAAAAATATTAGAAAATTGAAAATAAACTCACAGTTCTTTAAGATAACTATGAAATTTTAATCTAATTCGATTCAATCATAAACTGTTTGTTTGGCTAGTCATCCTGCGCCAGGTAGGTTTTTGAAAACATGCATTATTATCCAGTGTTGGAAGGTTGTTCGCTTTATGCATATATATCACTTAACCTACTTCTGTGGATTTGACTTCATTCAGTGCTGTTAGTGAATCCTTAGTAGATGTGGTGTTGAATATGATCTCATCAAACTGCTGAAGTGCTGTCACAAAAGTTAGGAATATCAATATATAAATCACTTTTGAAAGTAATCAATAGGTTTCACCTGAAATGATCTAGAGATACAACTATGCATATTTGAATTTCAAGGAGTTCATTATATTGCAAACTATGTTTGAAATCTTACAACTCAGAAAAATCTTCTTTCGATCTTTTAAATACGCTGGGATTATACTGATGAAACCAGACTTGCTGCTAAACATTTTCCAGGTCATTCGTAATAACTATAGTCTGAATGATAAATTGGTTAGTTGTGGCTAGCAGAAGAATCCAGAACGCACGTTTCGTCCTATTTGGGACTTGTCGGCTGGATGCACCTGCACCCTAATGATGTTGTTCCCACTGGGACTCGAACCTTGTAACCCCGCTTCAAACGCCAAGGCGTTATCCACCATGCCACGGAGGAACGATATAGACTTCTTGTACAAAGGGTAGTAGTAATTACTATTTATTGACATACTTGTTATTCTGAATGTTCTGAATGCTCATATTCTTATACATGAAAACTTTAAATATGACATTTTATCCTAGCTTTTTTAATTACTTTAAAGTTCAGATGATTTACGTTTGGTAGTATAAATACTAAAAGCTATTAATTCTTCAAGTACTTTCAGTCATTCCAAACATATATCGATTAAGCTATTATAAAAGCTGAAATTTGTTCGCATTGTATTTGCAGGGAACCTCGCCTGGTTAACTAGTTCACTAGTTACTAGCCGGTCCTAAGCCCGAATAAAGAGGGAAGATTGGGCATAGGTCTAGCAACCCTAACCCGGAAAACAAATCTAACCGCTAAACAAACTTCAAAGCACAAACGATACATAAAAAACAAAAACAAAATTATTCCTCGCTGGAATCGGAGAGGAGAAATGACGCCGGTCGGTGAAAACCTTCGGGAAGCCAATTGGCCGATGTGTCTTCGCCTCTCTCGATGAAAGCCAAAGTAAATGTGGGGATATGGAATGTCCGCACGATGTTTGAACCTAGCAAGGCAGCCCAGATGGCAAAAGAAATGAGAAGGTATCACACTGAAGTGCTTGAAATTTGCGAAAGCAGATGGAATGGGAGTGGACTCTCCAAACCGTCAACTGGAGAATCAATAATCTACTCCGATATTGTCACACAGACGACAACTACCAGCACACTAAATTATGCAGTGGCTATCATGATGTCCCCAACAGCATCGAAGGCTCTCAAGCAATGGAAACCAATCTCCTCCTCCACAGTCGGGATCATGACAGCAAGATTCAACTCAAACGGAAGGGAAGTCACAATTATACAGTGTTACGCTACGCACCTACAAATAGTGCAGGTCAAGAGAAGAAGGAGGAATTCTACAGACAACTCCAATCAACACTGGACAAGACGTCAGTTGGCGATATCAAAATTCTAATGGGTGACATGAATGTCAAACTGGGAGTGGACAACACAGGAAGAGAACTGTGCATGGGTCGAGAAGCACTCAGTGAAATGAACGAAAATGGAGAACTGTTTGCAGACTTCTGCGCATTCAACGATTTGGTGATTGGAGGCGAGGCAGTATGTACAAACACAAGGATATTCAAAAGGCAGTGACATGGATTTTACCTGGTGGACACACTACACTACAAATCAGATCGACTTCATCTCAATCTCAAGAAAGTGGAGATGCAGTCAGCCTACTCGACACAAGATCAGTTCAAGAAGAGGAGCAGATATAGGTTCACACCACTCCCTATCTAGTGCAAGGAACCTACCTTCCGAATCAGGTGAAAAGCCTTCAAAGAAGAAGCTGGTGATAGACCAAAGTTCAAGTTCAACACCCACAACAGAAACTGAACTGAAGGACGAAACTACAAATTAAATCTTCACGTCAGTCAGTCATCAAGACAAAATGGGAGATATCGAGGAAGATCCCTGAAGAAACCTGTGTGGATGAGCACTAGGAGTCTTCGAAAGCTATATAAAAGAAATCTGCATAACTGTACTGGGAAGGAAGAAGAAAGAAGATAAGAGATGGATCCCGATGGACACATGGAACTGATAGAGCAGGGAGAGAAGGATGTTGAAGCAGAAGGTAAACCAGTGCAGTGCAAGGATGAACGACGAGGAGAGGAACTGATTACAATGTATAAAACACTACACTGGACAAAGAAGTGAAGAAGAGTGGACGGGAAGACAAAAGACACTTCTACGAAACACTGGCAAGTGAAGCAGAACAGGCTGCAGGTAAGAGAGACCTGATAACATTGTATCAAATAACCAGCTTACTATCTGGGAGGGAAGTGATCAACACAGTGCAGATGAAACCAATAAAAGATGACGATAGAAATTTAATTACGAAAAAAGAGAAACAAAGGAAACAATGGGCTGACCACTTCAAGAAGCTCTTGAATCGATCACAACCTGCAGTCACAACTACCAGTGAACACAAATTCTTCTCCTCCTGAGCTCTATAAAGCTACTGAAATGCGAGAAAGCAGCAGGACTAGATGGAATCCCACCAGAAGCACTGAAAACAGACGCAGAGACAACAGCGGACACACTCACACCACTACTGCAGAAGCTTTGCAAGGAAGGAAGGAAAGGTACTTCTAGGTTGGTTGGAAGAAGGGTTACCTTGTCAAACTCCCACAGAAGGGACACCTAAGTCTTTACAAGAACTGGCAAGGAATCATGCTCCTGTCCTCACCCACCCAAGCAAAATATTATGTCACATCATCCTGCAGAGACTAAACAATACGCTGCATCCAAAGTTACGACCGAACAGGCTGGCTGCATTCAGGAAAAACAAATCATATGCAGACCGAATTGCAACGCTACGCTATGCATCATCATAGAACAGAGTATAGAATGACAGTCAGCTCAACTCCATCGACGTCAAACGAGAAGTAATTTGGCAGTTGCTTCAACACTACGGAATACTACAAACCTTTATCAGTCTCATTCAACAGCTATATGAAGACGCCACATGCCAAGTGATTCACAATGGAAAGGCTCAGTGACACCTTTGAAGTGAAGACAAGAGACAGGAGTAAGACAAGGCTGCCGCCTACTATCACCAATGATCTTCCTGGTTGTGGTCGACTGGGTCATGCAGCAAACCGTGAGGAGCGAGAAGATAGGCATACGTTGGCTGGACCGATGAAAAGACCCCAGAAGAACATTTGGATTTCACCAATGATGATTTATGTCTAATGTCTTGTCGTACAAACTCGAAGATCTACAGGCAAAATCCAACAAGTTGACAGAAGTGGTAGGGCAGCGAATACTGGACTTCAAGTGAACGTAGAAAAAACAGAGATGATGAAGATATCCAACCAACAACAACAACAGCAGGCTGCAATCACCATCAACGGGAGAAACCTAAAGGAATAAGCCTCTTTCACCTGTCTAGACAGCACTTTTTCAACTACAGATGGCACAGGCACAGATGAGGATGTCAAAGCCAGCCAGGATTGGACAAGCAAGACAGGCGTTCATTAACCTGAATTCAATGTGGAGATCTGCACTCATCATGTGGAACAAGATCCGGATTTTCAGCACCAACATCAATTCATTGCTTCTATATGGTTGAGAAACATGGCGCCTTACGAAAGGCATTTTCAACAAACTACAGACATTCATCAACAACTGCCTACGCTGGATCGTTACTGAAGATCAGATGGCCAGAAAAAATAAGGAACAAGGAACTGCGGCGACGAACCAACCAAGAACCTATCACTCAACAAATATGCACTGGAAGGAAGTGGAGATTGATTGGGTATGCACTGAGAAGACCATTCGGGGACATCATGCGTCAGGCCCTCGAGTGGAGGCCAGATGGGAAGCGACGAGTTGGGCGTCCTAGCTGAGGGTGACATGGAGGAGATCGTGCGAGGAAGAAATGAAGCTTCTGGCTGTCGTGGAACTAGGTTCAAAGGTTTGCAGGGAACAAATTGCACTGGAGATGTGCTACTGAAGCCCTATATTCCATTAGGAACCCAAGGGACAAATAATAAACAATAATATTTGCAGGGATCTTTATCAATTCTACTGAAGGTAACCAATGACTGACGCCTGAACTGACTTCTAACGTAATTCGCATAAAGACAGGGTCGTTAATCTGTGTCAACCATTTCACTCCAGCGAGATAATACTGTCCAGATTGAAATCATGTATCTGTGAACTATGTAGTTTGGTTAAGAAAGACACAGATGAGTGAGACTGAGCTGTAAACTGTAACCGTGA